AGTGCTTTTGGGTTAGGACGCTTAGTGAACCCCGACTTATAGTCCCATAGAGCCTCGGTCAAGCCACACAGATACAAACCACAAAAAGCAACAAGAAATACGGGTTTACAACAAACCTTGCAGTTTTGTTGCTGGAGGAGGGCAAGGTTGACACAAAACCCTGCAGTTTTGTTGTTGGAGGAGGACGAGAGTTTCCAAAAACTTGCAGTTTCTGTTGTTGCATGTCCAAGTAACATCCTTGTTTTGAGGCGTGTGGCAGCTTCGGAATGGGAAAAAAGCACAGAGATATTTTCGGATTTAGACCCACTTTTCCCAAAATCGAGCCAGGAAAACTCAAGATTGATCTGTTGCCGCTACCCAAACTGACAAGGTCACCTGACTGCACCAACTGTTGGGGATATCTTAAGCAGTAGTCATTACCGGATTGTTCAACATATCATGTGGAGCGGCAGGTCAGATGCTTTTTGTCTCGGGTTTTTCGCCCGACGATTCATGCATTGTGCGTCAAGCAGAAGTAGTAGGCAGTGGCAAATATAGTGCAGTGTGCAGAGCTGCGCTGCTTGGCACTGGCCTCAATCTTTATGTCATGTGCACCGGTTCAACAGCACGAACCAAAGTGAGGACATGGCGAACTTGAGATCTTTCGAAGGCAGCAGCTTTACTCAGTCGTTTCTGCCGTCCCTATTTGGCCCTATTTTCCTCGGCATTGTGCAGGTTTGCAATTCAATTTGTTGTCACTCTTCGAAAAGCAGGGTGCCAACCACGCAGACATTTTCATTCAGGTGAGGATGTCAAACTGCACAGGCCAAGTCGAGCACTGCACGGTGTTGCCAGGCTGAAGGACGCGAGATTCCTGCACACAAGGCAAGTGTGCTGTCCCACGTGCTTGTCCATGTTGCGCACTTGCATGGGCATGTCTCTTCGAGGCGATCTTGGCTGCGCACTCGCCTTTCTTATCGGCACTCTTTGCAGAGAACCCCGGCCACGAACGGGTGGAGCAACGGCCAAAGGATTGGGGCATGACCTGTCTTTCAGTAAAGTTGTGATCTCGTTCATTGGCTGTCTGAGGTTGGAACACAAATTCACTGTGGCAGCGGCCAAAGCTGTTGCGCATCTTTGTGATGCTTGCAGCATGAACTTCGAGCCCGGAACCATTGCTTGAGGTTTACACCCTCGTCCGTTTACTGTCACCTGTGCCTGGATTGCTCTCTGGCCCCAGACTCTGCGACGTCCGACCAGTGCCAGGTATTTCGGAGGTCTCGCAGCAGATCGGTTGACATCGCTGGAAGGCATCCGGTTCTTCCGGTTCTTCCTTGTGGAGCGCTTGCTTTCGCCTTCTCACAGGTTTGGATCTCCTCAGTCTTGCAGAGGAGCGCTGGCTAAATCCACCCTAAACACCGAAGAAACCCCTCCAATGCTTGCTTTAGGAGGCGCTTGCTTGAGAAAGCGGCCCCGCAGGAGCTGCAGGTCAAGGCAGTAGAGGCAGAGGATGTGAGGCCCATCATCGTGCCTGGCCCACAGCTCGCCCCAGAAAGCTTTGCTTACAACCGACCTGCCCCGGAGCGAGGAATGGTCTGGACGAGTCAAACTGGTCTCGCGCCAAGTCGACATGGCGAGCATTGAGAATGCTTGAGCTCCAACTGCCAGTGTGGATGTCCTGAACCACGAAGCCCTTCACAAGTTTCCGGAGTTCGAGGAGCTGCGGGATCTTCGTCACTGCCTCGTGGTTGATGCATCCTGTGTGTTGAGGATGCCGCGTGCAAGTTTACTGGCGAACACCTGCAGTCGATGTTGAAGAGCCGGAAGGAAACCCTCCTCAAGGTTCCGAGGTGCCCCAAAGAGCCGGACAAGATGTGTTTGCGGCGGTGCTTTCCCATGGGAGGCATCTCCTGACCATCGTTCTTCAGTACGCCTGCCATCAGGTGTCTGACCCCGAGTTTCCTGTCCACAGAGATAGGCCACAGTTGGCAGGTTTCGGACGCCACCGAGACTGACCTCGTTGCCCGAAGCTGAGACATGCGGCCCATGATCCTTGACATCCGTGAGTCGGAGTCAGGAGGGATGTTCTGAGGTCAAGTACTGCTTGCAGCTCACGCAGATCGACTCCGCGCTCGGAGCCTCAGACGCAGCGGCGCGCGCGCGCGCGCGCTTGCATTTGTGCATTTGCAGCTGCGACTGCGATTTGCTCCGATCTGCGCCCAGGTGCGACCTGCTGCGTGAAACCAAAACCTGGCAGTGGGGTGGCACTGGGCCGAGCTTGCTAGCAGCCCACGCAAAATCGGGTGTGCGCTTTTGGACCAACGGGACCTGAGGTGGAGACTTCTCGGTGCTGCGGTCCATTCCTGCCGAGGTCGGTTAATACCTCGCGCGGCATGTTTTGTGGCGTCGCCGGGCATGGCGGGTCGCAAAATGAAGGATGGCGAGCAGGTGGAGGATCCAAGTCAGGTTTGGCGCATCGATGGAGTGCTGGATGCCTGGCGGGCGGATGCCCGGCTTCGTTGTGTGCTTGCCGGAACTCGTTTCCCCAGTCAGGCGAATGGCGATGGATGGAACCCCAGCAAAGGTGGGACAGAGGGGTTTGTTTTTTGCAGCCCTGGAAAAAAGGGATATGCTTTTTTTCGAGCAGGTTGTAGCTGGGAAGTTCTTTGACTGGTGCATCCGCTTGGACTACGGAGCCGAGGAGCCTGCTTAAGCAAGCAAACTCCTGGGCCCTGGGGATGTTTGACTTTTTAATACTTTTTACGTCCCTTTACGTCAGCTTCCACGTCAGGGCAAGTTGCGGCTTGTCTACGAGAGTGCGAAGCCTACGGAGGCCCAGCTTCGTTTCGTGTCGTAGCTTCCTTGAACTCAGCAAACACGAGGAGAGCCGCGCGATCAACCGGTTTCCTGCTGCGATGTTCGCGCGCCTCGGACCGGAATGGAACCAGTAGTTATACAGAGCTGTTGGCTCGCTCTGTGTGGCTGCATCCGAATTTGTGCCTGTCAGAGAATGTCTCTTTGCTTGTGGAGGTGGCAGGTGATGTACAAGGGCCAGGCGGGGTTTCGATGAGTGGGGTTGCGGAAGATGTCTGGCTGAGCTCTTGGACCGAGAACGTGTTCCACGAGAAGCCGGTGTTCATTTGCTTTCCGGAAAACGTTCCGCTGCATTGGTCCACGCCAGCGGCCTCAGCCGTGAAGCAAGAGGCTAGTAGCGGCCTACATGCCATGGGCACGCCTGGCCGCCAGGACTTTGCCCATTACCGCCTCGGAGCTCAGCGATGATGACAGCCTCGAGATTACCGCCAGAGCCTCCCGGTATCACGGAACACTCGCAACGTCTTGCAGCTTTGACTGAGGTGATGATGGCAGAGAATCCAATGATCTCCTTGGTCCTGTACTATTTCAGTGCAGACTTAAAGACCACCGTCTTTGCCGAGGCCCTGTCTTGGGGTTTAGAAGGCGGGGGGAAAGCATATGACGCAGCGCTCTCTGGAGAGGACATCCTGAACCGCTTGCCGCACATCGAGTACCGCTGTCTCTCCTCGTGCGCCGTTTTTTCCGCTCGAGCTGCGGCATGCGGCGCTGCGGCGCTGCGCTTGCAGAGCTCGAGGTACTCCTTGGTGAAGACCCATGGGCCAGATGCATGAGAGCGGCAAGGAGGCCGTCCTCCCAAAGGGAGGAAGGGACGCAGAGGACCTGGGGTCGTCTCACAGCGCGTTTCACCACACTTTCAAAGCCCAAAGCCCATCCATCGACCTTCGAAATTGCTGAGCAGTCTGACTGTGGGGTCTGGCAAGATGGCAAAGGCAAGAGGGGGGAGAGTGCAGCTCCGATGCCCCTTCCTCAAGTGGGCCGACGGGCTAATCCCGTAGTTGGCGACACTCGGCTCCGCAATGGTCACAGCCCTCAGTCCTGTAGTTTTGCGAGGCCTCCCCTCTGAGTGCACCCGTCTCTGAGTCTCAGGCTGAGCACCTGCACTATGGAGACCTTTCCGGGCCGCAGCCACAAAGCCCCACAAAGCCCAACAAAGCCTGGAGTGTCAGCGGAGTGTCAGCGTGTCACATCGTGTCACTTCAAGGTCCCTCGGAGCTGCTGGGGAAGAGCGCCTCGGCCTCAGCAGCCGCGGTAGCGGTCGCCGCGTCTCAGTCCTCGCATCCGCGGGGGACGCCTCGATTCCTTTGCAGGGGAGGCCTTCAGCGGTTCCAACATCCATGTGCCCTCCGACGCGGACATCGTCGCAGGAGCTGCCGATGACATGGCCCGTGCTCGGTCCGGCGCCCACACCACTCCGCGACTCGCAGAAAGAAGCGCAGAGATTTCCCACCGAGGCAGCAGCACGAGGAGGCGGTGCGGGCCTTCGAGCAGAAGCGCACCCAGCGAGAGCGCCGAGCTCGGCCCGAAGAGCGAAAAGCGGAGCGGAGAGCGACCGCGAAAAGCGGAGCGGAGAGCGAAGACCGCGAAAAGGGCCCCCTTTTTTTAGGTGCCAAGGCCAGGCTGCGCTGTTCTTTTCGTGACCAGGCTGGCGGTGCCCACTGGGGACGTGCAGGTAAAGGCCAAGCTCCGCGAGTTTGGCGAGCCGGTCAGTGCCTAAACGGCCCCTCGAAAAGTTTTTTGAAGCGCCGAAAAGAGTCTTCGGCCGAGGTGTGCATCTTCGGCGAGGGCCCCTACGAGCGCAGAGACCGCTTGCGGACCATCATGGCGGGCCGTAGATTCCTGAGAGGGCCTTCGCTGTGGTCTCCACTCGACAAAGACCGTTTGAGAACAGAAAGAAAATAACTCAGAGGTACCGCTCCGACCTTGGACGCAAAGAGGCAGGAGTCGACCGGGGACGAGGCGCGGGGCGCGGGGCCGCTGCAGAAAGCGCGCTCCGCGCCGCTCCAGCGCGGAGAGATCTCGCAGCTCTCAGCTTCTGTCGACGAGGACCTCTTCTACACGGAGGGCTTGGAGGAGCTGCTGGAGGCTCGCGTGAAGATCGCCGAATGGCCGCCGCCTCACGCAGTTTTAGTTGTGCTCTCTCCCTTGCTCAGAGCTCTGCGGTCTGAGGTCCTTGGCCAGAGCAAACCAACGGCTGGAGCCGACCTCAGAAACCGCGACCACCCCCGACGTTCTTGTTTGAGCCCCTGCTTTCGGCTGTTTGTCCCAAAGTAGTACCCGCAAGTGTAACCTGCAGCTCATATTGCTCCATGGTGGAACGCACCGTACACCATTTTGCCTGCAAGAACAGTAATCAACGAAACGAGATCGAAACTCATGTTTTGCAACAGATTGTGCACAGAGATCGCCCACTGCCTTCTACACCATCCATGCGCAGCCATGAGCCGCATACCGAAGCCCTGTTGGCCCATTCAACAAAACAAAGCCCGTCCGCGGGTTCCAGGGGCCAGGACCCGAAGATCTCGCAAAGACTAGGTGACGAGCTGCGGACGGTGAGTCATCACCTTTGTTAGTGTCAGCAGGCACGGGCGGTGACTGAAGTTCGAAGGGCTCACCCTGTTGCTCGGTCAGTGCAAGCGCGCTCTGTTTTCTAACATGACAGCGGAAAACTCGAAGGAAGTGCGACGATGCTACTATGCTACTGGGGCTAACCCACCTGTGGGGCTAAAGGACCTGCTGAAGATCAGCATGCATGGCCTGTGCACCGAACGGAAGGCTTTAGGTGTAAGTCTGGGGTTTGATTCGAGCGTATGTTCTTTCATCCTGTAGGGTTATAACGTTATCATCACGTTGCTCATCAGCCGTGGGAAGGACTCTGAGGCTAGGCAGGTTAAGGACATCTGTTGTAAGTAGCTTTTTGTAAGTGTGAAAGTTGCATGGCGACCAGAAGCAAGGCCGATGCTCATTCAGTTGGATCCAGCAGGGAAGCAAAGATTCCGTTAAACATATCTTCTGTCTGTCTGTCTGTCTGTCTGTCTGTCTGTCTGTCTGTCTGTCTGTCCGTCCGCTGTCTCTGTCCGTCTCTCTGTCTCTAGGTCGGTCGATCCATCTGTCTGTTTGTCTGTCTGCCGGTC